GTTACCTTGAGAATTTTCAGTCTGTTGAAACTTCCCGCCTTTGAAATTTTAATATCCTCACTGGAATTAATCTTGAAAAACAAACATAAAACAGTAAATATAGAGTAAACCCGAGCCCGGGGCTGTGTCTGTTACAAGTAGTCTGCCTGGATGCTGCAGCACTGGAGCGCTGACACCCAGGCCTGTATGTTAATGATGATGTTTGAAGCCAGGTCTCACCTCCGCTCCATCTTTGTACCATTTTCCCTTGCAGTCATCTTTGCTTACTTTACACTCCAGCTCTGCTGCTTCTCCAATGATGGCCTTGCAGTCAGAAAGCGCAGCCTGAATGTGGACTCCTGGGTCTGAGGATTTATCAACCAAGCACATTAGTGAATGCAAATATTCTCCACACTATTAATTTGCACTTTGATATTTTCTACTTCTTTTGCTTTCATTGTTGGAGAAGTGCATGATCCTTACACTTGTCTGCAACGCAACATGAAAACATTTACTTACCTTTAGAACCAATTGTTGTTGTTGTTGTTGTCTATTTTATATATGAGGAAACATTTTAAGAGTTTCTATAAGGCTGTAATTCTGTGTATTCAATAGTGTGTGACTGTTCACTTTTTGGACTGGTTTTAATCAGGGTCAGAGTTTGCAAAGTTGAAAGCTTGTCAATGTTTGTAGAAACGACACCAATAAAATTTTGATTTATTCTTCGAATTTAAATTTAGTGTCTTACAATTCGGGCTCAGAAAAGATGAATTAAATCTCTGGGGCAAAAAAAAAGAAGAAGAAATTGTTGAGAGCATGGTTATCCTGGTCATCATCTCAAAAGAACATTTGTTTTGCATGTTCTTAGCTTCAAGGTTGCTCTGGCGTTTGTAAGAACTTTAACGACTGACCCTCAATGCACCGACTCATCCTGATAAAGCAAGCAAGATGGTTTACAGAGAAGCACACAGAGCACAGATGCACTTGACCATCATTCTCTCACAGGCATGCACACACACACACAACATAAAAACACATGTGGAGGAAGACACAAAAGAAAGAGTGAGACCACTGCTGATGAGCAATCTGTGGATCATGGAAATGACAGACCTCATTGCTTATATTCACACTGTGCTTCAGAACAGATTCACTATATTTTCACATCAGATTTCATGAACATTTTCTCCAATTATTGTCAGCACTGAAGAATTGCTTTCCCACCTGTGAGGGTCACTCTAAAAAGACTACTTTGACAGTTATTAGAAATTAAATGTACGTTTGTTTACACACTTGCTCTGTTAAAAACCTGTAATCACAAAAAAAAGTCATTTGCTCAGTGAATGACTTTTTTCCAGTGACAGTGCTTCCCATGCAGCAGGTAACACGACACCTGTAATCTTACCACTAACTCCTTTCTCACTCAGTGGGCTGTGACGTGCACTATGAGCATCGTGCACAACCTGTATGCTGGCCAGCTGCAGGTGGCTCACTGCTGTGTGCACCCTGATCATTGGCAGCTGATTCATGGCTGCCTTCTGCTGGCTCTGGGCCAATATCACATCCGACATCACTTATGTCATTCTTTTTTTTTTCCTCTCAGTTATTCTTATGGGAATAACCATCATTTCCAAATGTTCTTATTTGACTGCTGGTTCACCTTCCAAATAACAATCATGGAAACAGACACAATGATTATTCAAGTGTCAGAATAAAGGGATTAAAATAATTAGCAACAAGAAAAATACAGAAGTAACAACATTGTAAATTTGATTTTGTCATACGTTCATGATGATTATTATTGTCATTAGTTATTGCTATATATAGCATTTTTGTATAAACAATTTTTAAAACAAATAGCTATAGGTTGAGGACTGAATCAATATATAGACATACAGGTAAAGGTACAGGTATGTTTTTTATCTGTATTATATTCAACATGTGAAGCATCTTTCGATTTAGAACCCTTTTATCCAGTATCGGGGGCTGGCTACAGCATTTGTCTGTACCAGTACTATTGTAGCTAACGTTAGCTCTGGTGACTGTACCAGGTCTGTTGTGGCTAATTATAGCTATGGTGTAAGTACCATGAGTATAAACTAAACTTTTTCTTGTGTTGACGATATAGCATCCAGGGCATTAGTGTGGGGAAACTGCGCAACATGAGGTTGTTTTTTTTTTTTTACTTAACTTTAAATTGTTTTATTTATTTTTAAACATAAACATGGGGCATAGTATTATAGGTAATGGTTTCCTAAAAGCAGCATTAGGTGTTAATGCAGTCATTGTCTGTGCTGTTCAAGCAGATCTTTATTTTCCATCTGCATGGCGTTGACATCATGTAAGGTTGTTGTCCAAGTACAGGGTCATAACCTTCACTGATTAAAAAATTGTCTTAAATGAAACCTTTTATAAAAATTCTCTGTGAGATACAGGCTGGAACCAAACATGAAAGTGTCTCCTCAGTACATCAGCACTCACCAGGGTCATAGAGTGATGAGAGAATTGTCACATGCTGAGAGCAGAGATAAGTGAGGTGTGGGAAACTAATAGTAAGTATGGCAGTTAATTCTCTCTCTCTGAAGCCCGGGGTCACACAGGGCTGTGATGAAAATAGTGAAAACGGCTCAGCAAGAAAATTAACAGTGTGTTTGAGAATTAAAAGAAAAAAAAACATTTGGTGCAAGATTAGTTTGATGGTAAACCGTCTGCATTTATAACCCTGAAAACTGCACAACCTACTGAATAACAGCCAAACCCAGAGTTGAGGCAAACATGCTAATCCATACTTTTTTGGCTAATCCAATACTTTCATTATGGGTCTACAAGAGTGTAGGCAATAATATAGAAATTTGATATGAAAGAGCCACAAACAACCATCACTGTTAAAAACATAATTGTGTACAAATTATAAATATATATTAATATATATTTGATATATATTATATTTATCAAATTATTAAAATGTATTGAACTCCATGTAAACTGTTTGCTGTGAAGAGGAACACTTTAATCTTGAAGCTAATGTTAGCTTCAAGATTCCTGGCAAAGACACCAGAGCTAATGTTAGCTACAACATTCCTGATACAGACACCAGACCTAACGTTAGCTACAAGAGTTCTGATACAGGCATCACAGCTAACACTGCTACAACAGTCCCGATACAAACACCAGAGCTAACGTTAGCTACAATTGTACAGGTGAAGAGAATCGGTGTAGCCAGTCGATAATCACACCAAATGACAGGGTTTGGAACCAAAAAGTCTTCGAATGTTGAATATAATTGGTTTAATTGTTCTGTGACTTTGTACTACTCTGTGAATACTATATTAACTATAGTTAATTATATATTTAATGTATATGTCTATAATTAATGGTTCAGTCTTGAACCAAAATTTACTTCACTGAAAACACCTTTCTGCTTATTTTTATTTCAGTCAGATTAAAATACTTGTGATTAGTTAAGTTACAAACCCCTCAAATAAAAACAATACATTGCATTTATTATTTTCCACCACTATCAAAATGTGACCTGAAATTGGTCATTGTTGACAAAGTTGAGATTTGCCAAAATTAAGCAGCAGATCATAAATAGTTCATGAATTTCTCACCATCCAATGTTACTGGTTATTTAGTATCAACACCATGCAACCTCCAACATCTCTTACCAACAGCTGGTTCGTCAGGGAGCAATTTTTTCTTTTTCACACGGTTTCTTTTTTTTCCAGATTCCTCTCCTTGTTCACTCGTAAGTTCTTCATTGATATTATCTGTTTCGAAAGTAACAGTAAAAAAAGATTTACACAGGAAACCAAGAAAGCACATATTGAAAAAGTTTGTTGGTTTAGGAAGGAGCTACAATAATACAACTAGCTTTACCTCAAAGTACATACATACTCAGAAACTCTTACCATTTCCTGTATGTTGAGGAAGTTGACCTTCTTTAGCAAGTTTTCCATGTTTTTGTCCTGCCCTTTTCTCTCCTTCTTCTTCTTCCCCTCCTTCATATTCTTCATCATCCCATGAGTCATAATCTCCATCCTTTCCATCGACTCCTCCTTGGCGAGCAGCACTTGCTCCACCAACAACTCTACTAAATGCTCCTGCTGTATCTCCACCTTCACCAGCTCTAGTACCTACTCCCACTACTGCATCAGCTCCAGAGACTCCTGCTGTCCCACACCTATCAGCTTCTCCTCTAGCCCCACTTCCTACTCCTCCGGCTTGACCATTCACTCCACCAGCAACTTCTTCAGTTTGATCTCCTGCATTTCTAGTTTGTCCTTCTCCTCCATTAGCCATTCCTACAGGATTATCTCCAACTCCTCCTGCAGTTCCTCCAGGTCGGCCTTCAACTCTTCCAGCCATTCCACCAGGTTGAATTTCAAGTCCTCCAGCCATTCCTCCAGGTTGGCCTCCCACTCCTTCAGCCATTCCTCCAGCTTGACCTCCTACTTCTGCAGAAAATCCACCTGCCTGACCTTCTACTCCTCCAGCAGCTCCGCCAGCCTGACCTCCAACTCCTTCTGCTGCTCTTCGTCTAACTCCTACATCTTGTGTTGCTGCTTGATCCTCCAAGCCTCTAACACCTGGTCCACCTTGTGGTCCCACTCCTCGTCCTTGTCCATCTCCAACCTGTCCTGCAGCTCTAACTCCACCAACACCCTGTGTTCCACCTCCACTCTTTGTTCCCCCAGCCCCACCGCCCACTCTTCCTCCTATTCCACCGTCCCTGCCAGCACCAGCAGCTCCTTCAGCTCCGTCTCCAGCAGAACCATCTTTTGTTTCGGTTTTCCTCACAGCCCCATTCTGTCCAGCTGCTGTTTTTTTGGACCTGGCAGCAGCCTGGGCCAGAGCCTTCTCCTCAGCCGCTGCCTTCTTCGCCAGTTCTGCCTCTTCACGAGCCGCTGCCTCTGCAGCCTCTCTCTCTTCTTGTAACTTTTTAGCTCTCTCCATTTTTTCCTGCATTTCCTTCTGATATTTGTCTTGCTGTTCCTTTGCTATTGTCATCAGGTCTTCATCATTACCACCTCCAGCCATTGTGGTTTTGCGAGCCGCTTTTCTTCCCTTGTTGGCTGTATCTCTGTCAGCTGTTGAATTAATACATCAAATATGTCTCAATGCATAGATACACAATTAATCTATAATGTTTATTTATGTGGTTGTTTTGTATCTTAGAATATGGAAATACATGTTTATAAGTACTTTTAACCTCTATACTCTCACCTTCAACAACTAGCCAAGCGTTGCATGATTTTATTCCTGCCACAGTGGCATAAATACCAGCATCCAATGGCAAACAGTCTCGAATGATCAGCTTGTGGATGAGCTTATCTTCAGATACAATGATTTCGTGTTTGTCACTATTTGACAGTGGGGCGTTTTTTCCAAACCATTTGACTTCAGTCATGGGTGCCGTTAAGACACACTGAAAGAGGGCGTCCTCTCGTTCTTCTGCCTTAACCTCTTGAATTTTAACAGCAAAGTCGACCTCAGGAACTGCAGGAAATGTCAAAAGGAAGCACAGGGAGATCGGTTTATTCTTATACTAAGTTACAGAAAAATCAAGTAATTAATTTGATGTCTCCTACCGACTCACCTTTAAAGTCTGTAGAAAACACATTAACACCCTCCACATCCACTGAGTAGAGTCCTGCATCCTCTAAACCCAGGTTTTTGATTGTGAAAATATATTTCTTGCCAACTTGTTTCAGGTTGTGCTTCATGCTCTCACTGTCCTCAATGGAAAATGGAACCATGACACCATTCTGCAGAGCACAACCAACAATACTTAAACACTATAAGAGCAGTGGTTCTTGACTTTTTTTGTAGCGTCCCCTTTTGTGGATTAGATAATTGTCTACATCAACGCATTTACATGTCCTTATTTAAAACACTTAATATAACAGAGAGGGTGGGGTCTACCTTGGGAACCACTGTTTTGGAGAAAGTACGCAATTGGAAATTTTCTAGCTAAATTGTTCATATCTCACCTTGTACAGATAGATCTTACTGTTGGGATCTCTGAGGTCCATGTCCAACTCAATGGTTGCACAGTCGTCATTGCTGACCTCGATGTGTTTAAGAGTACTTATCTGTGACACAAACTAAAATAGAAGTAAACAACAGGCAATTAGAAATAGGCAGAAAAAAGAAACCCACACGGGCATCGGACAACACCGCAATTAAAATACAGGAAAAACAAAAACCTTTCCCTCGAAATGTTTGCAACAGAGATGGCAATTAGTATTTTCACACCTCTGCAATCTGCTCCTCTCTTTCTCTCCTCATTTCATTCAGCTTCTTCAACATCCCCCTAAAGTCTGTGATTCCGTATTCGGCACAGATCCGTTCATAGTCTCTCTTGTCGGCGCTGAGCAGAAGTTCCCACACCTTCTCCTCAGGCTCCATTTGCTTTTCCTCACGTGTTCCATCAGGATTACTGCAAGGAGTTGAAGGGGGAGAGGTAGGAGGGGAGGGTGGGTTTCATTACTTTCATTACATGCTTTGGGATCTGTTTTGTTCTCATACAACCACGGGAAGGCTGTTATGAATACTATTAGAAAAAACTATTTTCTGAACAGAACTGAGTTTGTTGCAGGACTTACTGTTTCTTCAGGCCTTTTCTGAGATCAGTTATATCTGTGGAATAAAAAAAAAAAATTGTGCATTTTTAATGTCAGTTCTGGTGTTATGGTTAGAATTACTCTACTGGTGAATTTACTTTTCTCTAAGTGTTTTAATTATATATTTTATTATTATATTCAGGTAAATTCTGTCAGCAACCAAGACAGTATTTTTTCCCACACTTATTCACACCTTATATCAGTGGTTCCCAAACTTTAGGGCTGTTGTATTGCACTCCCCATGCACTGACACAATCACACAATTCACATTCAAATTAATCTCCACGTTTCTAAAATTGGGTGTGTGTACGAGTTCATTAAATAATTAATGAAAAGACACAGTATAACTCCAAGCCTTTTTTAAAGCCTCACCTTTCCCTTGCATCCTTTGCAGTTCCTTGGTCGTTGAAAACCCAACTGTAAACAAACGACAACTTTATTTTCTGTCACACTTGGGTTCTGCCATAGATTCAGACGTATTTGTTTCATGATAAACGGGATGAATTCTACCATTGATGACGTTCAAGACCACAGTGCACACAGCTTTTCCATATTTGTTTGTCGCATAGCACTTGTAGGTGTCTGCGTCCTCTGGGTTCACCTTAGGAAACTAAGACAGCATAAAATCATACAGGACTGCATTTTGAAATACATTGTATTTCATTAAGTATTTTTTGAAAAGCAACTGTAATTTTTTTGTACGTTTAAACCTACCTCGAGGGTGTGTTCGTGGGACGACTCGTTATATTTCTGCAGACACACTTCAGGGTGAAAAAAGATGTCTCCGTTGGCTCTGCTCCATGTCACAGTGGGTGCTGGAGTGCCTGTTACTATGGCTTTGAAAGCTCCATATTTACCTGGAGGACGACACAAACTGAATTATTATTTAATGCTAAATAACTCATAATAATAACTCAGTTATTAGTATTTTATTTTATTGAAATAACAGTCATAACAGTGAAAATGGACCATGATCTCAGTTGCTAGTCCGTGTCTTATAAGCAACTGTTGGTTTTGTTCTTCTGTATATTCGCCTGATAATATGATTACTTGTGTGAACCTTTTTGATTAACTTTTTTAGTAGTACCCCCTTATTTTTAAACAAGCCTTTCCCCCGCCCCGTAGCCATATCAACTCTTTCTTTTGCTTCAAAACTTCATTAATTTTAATTTAAACTAATGAAATTCCCACAGAGCTGTACGATACAGATGACCCACTAGGGCACAAACCAAGAAAATATTGCAATGGAAGTTAATTTCCCCTTTATTGCCACAATGTTTATTTAATGCCAAACCCAACCATTTTGTTTGTTCTGACAGAGATTTGAACTTGTTACCCTCTTGAATAGTCAGAGCAATAGGTTTGCGGGTAAAATCTGGAGTTGACATTCCTTCAGGAAGATCCTCCATGAATTGCGTTATCATGACACCAGGCACTTTGGACCGCTTCCTGATGCCTGGACAAAGAAGAAAAGATATTAAAATGACTACAAATAAATACAAAATGCTAACAAGTAGTGGAATGACTGAACCAAAAACCTTATACCATTTGTTCATAATTTTCTCAAATATTTAATTTAACTATCAATCTTTATTCACATGAGAAAAATGCTTTTTAGCAAACCATGTAATAACCTGTCAACAATTGTACCGTCTTATTTACAAACCTATCTGAACAAACAGTTCATCAATTACATCATTCAGACAATCAGAACCAGACTTTAACTCCGCTGAAGTTGAGCTCAGTCCTGGATGATAGTGAGTTTGATTTTGGGTTTTGTCTGTTGTTAGTGTAGGTCAACTATTTTAAGTTCATCTGGTCTTAAATGTTGATTTTTGTGATTTGAAAAATCTATGAAAGAAAGTGCAAAGTTCTGAACCAGGTTTCCGCCACACGGTTCCTTTAGCAGGACTCTGCTGATAAAGTCAGAACAGAGCACCACGTGACCACTGACCTACAGGGTCAGTCGTTGAAGACCTTTGCATGGGGACGGTGACTGTATAAGTATCTAATGCTGCACATGTGTAAACCACTATTTGAGCAGCTTTAACAGTTGTTAAGCATTATTCTGATTTGAAACTTGTGCTGCTGATGTTCTGGTATTAGTTTTTGTTGGTTTGTTTGTTGTGTTTAAGCCCTGACCCACATGCACAGTGAAGTGAATGTATTGTATTGTAGTGAGCAGCCCAGATTAACCAACAGTGAGTGTGTCATCACATTTGTCCATAAACACGATGTTTATGTCATGTTGACAGTGTTACAGTTAGTACAAAAATATTTAACTTGCATCGTTTCTGAAACCTATCTATACATGTACAGTTGGTCTAATACAGAGTCAGAAGACATGGTGTCTGTGGAAAACAGTAGAATCGTGAGAACAAAGACTTCACTATATATATGTATGTATATATATGTTTGTGTGTGTGTGTGTGTGTAGAATATGTATCTGTCTGACTTTAGCATTGTGTTGAAGTATGCTGCTGTGTCAAAGGTCAGAGGTCAAATGAAAAGCATAATTTCCTCTGTTGGATGCAGTGCAAGTACATCGTGTCTGACCGTCCTGATTGACCACAGTTAGAGATAAAAGGCATGTTTTCACTCATTATTTAACAGTACATATTTTAGTGCATTTGCTGAAGCCCCAGAGCCCTGAGAGTATTAACAAGTATTAACTGACCATCAGCAATCTCAGGGAAGGCCTCACTGCTGATCACAGAGGATCTGCTGACCCAGCGGTTCCTGGTCTTTAAATATTTTCACTTGGAGTGAATGACCTGCAATGAGCAGAATATTAACTAGGGAAAATATATGATGTAAGAATATATAAAATTGAGTATACAATGCCTCAGCGTTTTTGCAGTGCAAAGCCGAATGTAGATGAATCACTAATAGCAGCTGCCACTTAACAGTAAGGTAGGTTAAGCTAAAGGCTCGCGGTGTGGTATGATGAGGATGAAACACACAGACAGGATGTTTGCATGGGTGGAACATGCAGCTACTACAGCTGCATGCGTCAAGCCGGGCAAGTACTTGGTACATGGGCTAGTATAATACTGTGCACCATTGCTAATAATACTAGTATTACTATTAGACCTAGGGCATAGATAAGCAATCTAGCATAAAGCAGGTTACAGAAGCTGTGCTGAAATTCTCCTGCTGCTGTTGTAAATCGGTTGTAAAGTTGTTGGGGACTGTGCCTTTATAATGTGGACGCATTGGTGCATCTTCTGTTCATTGGAGTTGGATAGATTTTCATCTGTGTCTGTTAGGTGTTCCTTTGTTTTATATTTATTTTTGAAAATAGCGTGGAATTGAGGAAAATAATAAGCAAAATAAGCAAAATATTGGATGAATCTTCATCAGATCTATAAGATAAACAGTAAGTTTTAAGAATAAAGTCTTGATTTTATTTTCTGGAAAATATTGTCTATTGTCTTGTTCTGAGTGTAGCTAAATGTTAATGTCTATTGCTTTAAAACTTCCTCGTCGCGTGTAAGAATAATAATCATAAAAAAAAAACGAATTATTGCAACAAAGGCCGATTGGTGGAGATGTGGCTGCAGATGCTAATGTAAAAAAGTTTCCTTGAGGAGTTTAATGTCATAACTGGCCTCCTTTGATCGACCACACAGATCAGTCTCAGTCATGTCTGACAACGTTGACTGACGGGTGAATAATATTAGGTGTTTCAAACCTAAATGAGGTTAATATTTGCATTAATGGTACATATTATTATTTATCAGATAATTTTGAGACACAACACATATTTTTATAACCTAGATGCCACATATAAATACAGCTGTGTCATCCTATGTCATTAATTAACATTTAGTTAAAACAACTAGATTTTTAAGAACATACAGCCCCTGCTATATTTAAAATTTAGTAAACCTAAAAATGAATATTGCTCTTCATCAGCTTTTGAAGGTCGTATCTGTGGCAGTTGTCAGAGTTAAGTGATGAGTGCGCCAATGCAACAAGTTGTGAATCAGTTAGAGAAGACACGGCGATGCCCTCAGCAGCAGCAGTAGCGGCAGCGGCTGCTACAGTGGTTGCTACAGTGCTTTTCATATTGAGGCTGTTGGTAACGTCACATTCAAGTGCATCCACTGTGACACTGAAAGTTGCTTCATCCATTTTAGACGACACCTTTCGAGGAGGGATGAAGACCATGTCACACATGAATCAACCAACATGAAGTCATGCAGTTACAGGAGTGAATTTGTGTAGTTGTTTGTGCAATCTGGTTTTGGTCTTCTTTTTTTTATTTTAATGGCTTCCATACCTTTGTCATCTGGTCGAGCTCCATCAGAACTGCCGACTTAACACGCAACGTGAGAGCAGGAGAGGGAACAGGACAAGTGAATATTAATCCTGACAAGAGCGCAGTGACAGACTGGAACTTCGACAGGATTATGGGCACCGATGAACAAACAACACCACAGTATACAGTAGATCAGCAGAGAATGGGAAGCACACACACACTCACTCACACACAGAGACAGACAGACAGACAGACATAACTGGGCAGACCAAAACCCATACACAGAAAACTGTTAGTCAAAGACTGAAGAGAATAAAATTTGTTAGCAATATTGATGTGATTCAGCCTTCAGATATCAGCGTCGCTTTATCTCAGGATGATTCCTGCACAGTGCTTGAGGTCAGTGAAAAACAATTTCTTAGATTTAAACGTAGTCCACTTCCTTCTTCAAATGCTGTAGATGCTGATGATGTCATGCTGTTCCATCATAGTTTTTTAGATTTTCCAGAGAGATCCAGACGATATCTTCTCCTGATGCTGGCTTTTTTTAAAAATACTTTTATCTCTGTGCTTCTCATCTTCTGGCACCTGCGTTACCTGTGATCATTAAAATTACTTATATTCATTATAATTTTTCATCTTTGGATTCTTCTAAATGGAGAAAGGACGAAGGTTGTCTCATTATACGAACAAAAATTAATTGAAAAAATACCGTCTTCTTCACTGTTCAAAGACATCTGTGTTTCACTGAGTCACAGCTGAAATCATAGTTTACAGTAATTTAAAAAAATACTGTGTATTTACTTGAGTCTTGTTCATGTGGTCTGTCAACAAATTTTTTAAAAAGATGCTGCTCAGGTCACTGACCTGGTTTTGCCGTTGTCTTCTTGGCTGATTTCTTCATCCAGCAGTTGCTATTTTTATCATTTTGTTTTTCAAAGTAGAAGTAGTGTTTTTTGACAAGGGACATATTCTTTGATGGAAGGGAAAGTCAGTGATTTATAAGATAAGATGTGGAGTTAATTATTATACAAAGCCTGGACAGGTCTCAATAGTGTGAAGAGTCCGTTGTTCAACACTTACCTGTCGGAGCTGCTTCAGGTTCTTTTGACTTCTTCGCCTTCTTCCCGTGCTGCTCTCCTTCATCTTTTTTAGCTTCTTCTGGTTTGCCCTCCTCAGGTTTGCCCTCCTCGGCTTTGGCCTCCTCTGCCTTGGCTACCTCCTCCTTGGGTTCTTCTGCCTTGGCTTCCTCCTTCTTGGGTTCTTCTGCCTTGGCTACCTCCTTCTTGGGTTCTTCCGCCTTGGCTACCTCCTTCTTGGGTTCTGCCTTGGCTACCTCCTTCTTTCCTGCCTTTGCCTTAATTTCCTTCTTCTTGGCTGCCCCTGGAGCGCTGCTCATTTTGACGGCTCTGTAAAATTAACAAACAAACAAAAACGACACGGCTGTGTGAATTATATTATGGTTACTGCGTGTCCATATTACGCTATTGATAAGCTATGATATTTGATGTTGAAAAGGGAAAGTAAAGTAATCTGCTGACGTAATAGTGCTAATCATGTCAGAAAACTGTAGTGTTGCTCATTTTTTTCCCTCATGTCAAGTGATTCTCATTTCATTTTTGAATTATAGTCTGTCCTCAAGTCCCACTGGAAACACCTTACACCATTTTGCAGAGCCTTTTATTTTTAGTAGCACACATGCACCAGCATATGCTAAAAGAGGGCTCTCTGCTCCAGCAGCAATCTTGGCTCCTGACGCATCTTCAAATTGAACTTCACAACGCATATGGTGAAGCAAAGTAGGCTGCAACAGGAGACAAATTGGCAGACGGCCTTTGCATTAAGTGATACCAGCCCCTCCATCCCTCCCCCCGGAGACTTTGCCGTTTTAGCTGATTTTATTTATAGTGAGACCTGCAGATGAGGTACTCTTGTGTGTTGTGAACTGAAGAAACAAACATGCGACAGAAAAGACGAAGGGACAGTGATTCTATACGTGTGTTAATGTCACCAGCATTACATAACTTATATAATACTTATTATACATGTACAAGCTAAACACACAGAAACACAGTTTTGGCTGCAGACCCCTGCAGTTTTTACCAGCAGAGACTGGCTAAACAAGACAAATACCACCTGGCTCCTGAAGATAGCCCTTTTAAAGTTCTGCCAAATTCTTTAATAAATGAGTTAACCAAAAATATTTTCCCATGAGTCACTTTGCTATCAACAATAATTCTACAACATCCTTGATGTTGTACATAGCAATTTTAATGAACCAGTAATTCACGCCACCTATTTTGATGAGCAGGGGGCGGAGCTAAATTCTTGTGTACATGTCATTGAAGTGAGTAGGGTGTTGGGCCTTGATCCTTGCTAACAACAGATACACATTTGAAAGTTGGACAAATAAAGTGTACTTGCAAAACATTGCTATCATTTATAGCTTTTATCCTCTATGTAAATCCAAGGATTTTCCATATGAAGTCATTGGGGACGACGTACCCCAAAGATAAGATAAGATAAGATATGTAAGATAAGATAAGATAAGATAAGATAAGATAATATATGTATATATATATGTATATATATATATATGTATCTATCAATGATTCCTCTCGTAGTAATACTATGAACTGCAGTTAACAATGCCAAGAGGTTATATTCTCTTTACATTGACAGCATGTTATTAACATAATTTTTCTCACATTACCACTCATGCTTCATACTCTCCATACTTTAAAGACGCAAGTGCAGCGTCGCCTCATTTGACATTGGTTTAAGATGAACTCTTATCAACAACATGGAGATAACTGAAGAGGATAAAATCCCTTGGCGTTTGTTGAACAGGAAGTGTTGAAGATGCAGTGTTGCAGATAAACAATTTCAACATGATGTGCCAGTAGCGTGTGACATATCAGGTTGTCATCCCTGCCCGATGAAACACATGCACACAAACACATACACATACAGTATATGAACACAGAGGATTGCAGCAGGAACCATGTCCCGTTGAAACATCATCTTGTAGCTTCTCATCACATCACTGAGTGTTGGAGACAGAGGGTGACTCCAGTTGTGTAACTCACACAGAAGCCGGCCCGATGACAAGACCTCTCGGTGTCAAATGAGCCCTTATGTCGCTGTTTGAGCTTCCCAGTGGAATTGTGCATACGTGTTGAATTGCTGTTAGGGAGCTGACAAGTCCATGCACGCACTTGACATTGTCAAGTGTGTGCATCCGCTGCTTGGGCTTCAGCATCTCTGGGACGTTTCTCATTTTTGTGCTTCATTGCTACGTCAGGCATAAATGCATGAAACACTTTCGCCTGTCATGAAATTACAATGTGCACATTTGTGAGCACTTACAGTGGGAAATGCTGCAGCATGAACACCGTCAGCCACTGCACTGTATGTAAAGAAAACTCACTCTTCCGTCTAAGCACAACCCACTCCCTCACTGCTCTTCTTGAAATTCCATGCTGCATATTGATTTGATTTTTTTCATTTAAAGTTATTCTTCAGCTGGCGACCTTACAGCTCTGACCTCGCTGTAAGGATTCAGCGTGTTCCATTTACAAGCATGAAATTCAAACTGAGAAACCGACGTGCACTACTAAAATGATTGTGCACGCCGTCGCCAAATCTGTCCTCCATGTAACTGAATCCTCCTGGGTGATTAATGTACATCTAAAGCATTAATTTGACAACACACTGTAACTGGAGCAATTTGAAATTAGAACCCAAGTAACCCAAGTCTATTTACTGTAAGTCACTATATTGTAAATGTATATTGGCCTCACTGCAGGGGAAACTATGAACAGATCACTTCATTAACACACCAATATACAACATTGTTTTACTCCTTCTACTGTGACTAAAGTTGGTGCACCTGCTCACCCACCGCTGGCCTCCGTCCTGATGATTCACACAGCACTTATCATGATGTACTGCATATTTGCAAGGGCTGACATAGAAGCAATTGGCTGACGCTAATCAATGGTTGGGCTCTGATTAAACATCTTTCCTCTCGCCCAGCCTTTCCAATTGAGGCCACCTACCTGTCCTCAGTCCTCAGGGCTCGAAGATCTGTATCCTGTCAAGCAGCAGTCTGGCCACACTCTGCCTTCCTCCTGATTTTTTTTTTTCCCTCCCTCTAACGTAATAGATCCTTTCAGCAGTCTGCAAGTTAATGCTTGATGCTTTCCTTCTGCCCAGACCTGGTGACTGCTAAAAACTGTTTCGGCTTTTCTGTATCTGTGAATACTCCCAAGACATTGGAGGCCGGGTGGGCGGTAAGGGGAGGGTGGAGTGGGGGTGGGGAGGCAGCAAGGGTGGGTCAAAGAGCAGGTTAAATACCTTTTTCAAGAATAATTTCTTCTTGTGAAGCACATGTAGTGACACCTCTGAGTTGGTGATGGCGAATGTGTGCAGTAAAAGCTCTGTGACTGCAGGAACCAAATGGTGGGAATAAGTTGTCATCAGAGTAATGGCTAAGACAAATTATCACAGATTTGAATGACAATCTCAGGCCATTTAAGTTCAGAAATAGAGTTTCATCACAACCACTAGGAAGAAAAGTTATCCACTAATCCATCCCTGCAGCCAAGTATTAAGTATGTGCACTTTAATATGCAGTTGTTGGCATAAAGTTACTGCAAATTCTTTAAATATTGTCAATAATGTAGACATAAATGTTAATTATTAAAAAATAAATCAATGTATTGTTGGCACTTAGAACATATTAAATACCAATAGCAACAAAGTTGCTCATTTCTAAAGAGCTGGTATTTATCCAAGATAGAATCAGATAATGCAGATGTGATCTGATATCAAAGTGCTCTCTTTGAGGAAAGAATTCCAAACAGTAAAGATCCTGAAATAAAACAGAATCAATAATAGGTCTGGCTCAGATAATACAGCTGCTGTGTTATCAAAGTGTTGGGCTGCAGCCCTTGAAGAATTTTAGCTCTTGTATTCTATTGAGGACGCTGGTATGCCAGCATGCGTGCCTTGTGAGTTGTTTTATTTTGAGACCCATTGTAAACGTTGCCAGCCACTGTTTGTGTGGAGGCTTAAATAAAAAGGCAATGGCGATGGTGTCACGTTCATCCAATGCTTGTTCCATGGAGGCGTTGTATTGAGCACGCGGCAGCTGCTACACCATCGTGTTCACATCTGAAACCTAATTAAAATATTTCACAAAAAATACACCAGTAAGGAGAAAGACATGTACAATGTGTGTGTGTGTGTATATATATATATGTTTATATATATTTCTATATTTCAATATACATATATAAAAATATGTGTGTATATATACAGTATATATATATATATATATATATACATATATATATAGTTGTATAATGCTATATAAAATTGTAATCTTGGTGTATTTTACTTTTAGAAATATATTTATATATGTAAATATATGTGTATGTGTGTAAATATATAAATTGTACATGTATATATGCATATATATATAAACTATACTTTATTCATATTTTACTTCTAAGCTGCTAATGTTAATACAGTCACACTAAATATAAACACAAATTACACATTTGTCTGACATGTAATATTTTTAAAATTTTTATATAAAGAACAGGAGAAATGCTACAGATCCATGTAAGTCAACCAGTTGAATGTGTAGAACAGACCAGCCCTCATGACCTACCAAAACCTTTACTGCCCCGACAGTAAAACCTGTGAACTTTGCAGCCAGTAAACAACAACAAGCATAAATCTGTCAGCCTTGAGTAAATATGCATTCAGCCACAGCTTCAGGTCTATTTTAGTCAGCCAGTTCGCAGTATTTGAGTACCTCTTGGTAACCAGTGTTTATATTTGATATTACTGTAGAATACAACTAGAAGTTTTCAGGGTTTAGTGGTTCAAAAAGAGATTTTATGTGGGATAACTGTGATTTACAAGGTAATTAAACCTGGGACTAGGTGACATTTACGTGTAGCTAGTTAATACTTAAGAAAGTACGTTATGCTAAAGCCACTTCTAAGGTGGCTTATGGGATAGCCTGACATGACATGACATACAGTGGTCGACACATTACACCAGACATGTTCTGACATGTTATATGACATGTTATTGGCTGCTGTGTCGTCGGCTCAGACTGCAAGAGTTCAGCTGTGAACAAACTGTTGTCTTCCATCTGTTTGGTTCTGTGATTGTGAAAAATAAACACATAAAGTATCATATTTGTTATGTAAAAACTAATGATTAAGTTTCACGTTTCTTTTTTACATCTATAAACTTTTACATCTTTATATCGTTTTGGATTTAAGAATTAGGAGTCAATAAAGTCTCTGGTCAGTAATTGGATAACAGATTGTACTGGACTTGATAGGGTCTGTGACCCAGATGTTGGCAGTACCATCTACGTTTTCATTTCATATGTACTGGTATTTTCCCTCCTTGATTTATCTATTGTTATTTTATGGCTCAGCTTATTTATTTTGTACGTTGTTACCCATCTGATTTTCTATTCACTTTGGGTTTTTTTTTTTGGGGGGGGGACTTATATAAGAGGAAGAAGCACTGTGTGCAGATGGAATAAATATTGAAGTTTTTTCAAACTCATTCAATCTGTAATGGCTGTGTTTAGAAAAACACTGGAAAAACAAAGGATTTCACACATTTCATGAATATTAAAAAAAAAACTGTGCATAATTACTCTAATTACAAGCTGCACTCAAACCCTCCGATGCCTTACTTTGTAATTTTAACATCTCCTCTCTGGTGTTTACAGTCAGTAAAACTCTTGACTAATCTGCATTACTAGACTTTTATTTTTCATCACAAAAGTCTTGAATTCTTCTCAATTCTCACACTTTTTTTATTGTCTCCTGTGATTTCACCTCCTCCTCCCTGCAGCCCCTGTCTTCCTAACTAAAGCTTCCAGGTATTTTTTTTTTCAGATTCCTAGACCCACTCCATCTCCTCTCTGTCTTCTTTGGCACATCTCTTGGTTTTCTTTAAGGTCTTCCATCAAACAATATCAAACTCAACTTGGATTTCAATCTATCTCGAGCATAGTAGTAATTTTCTCCTTCATTATTACCAGATTTTTGAGTATTTGAGTTGATATTTTGTGTGTATCACTCAGTCCTCCATTATTTCACAATCTCAATTATAACTTTGTTGAATAAAAAACAAAACATTTTAGTTGTATATGATGTTTTTGGAGTTTTAAATCATCCACCCTTAGTTCAGACAGGTACGCACACTCCAGAGTCTACAGGCAGACGAGGTCACGCCGCACGTCTGATTTAAAGCCCTGTTTCTTGTTTTGTTTTGCTGAGGCACTCTGGTCTGCGCTGAGCTCAGCTCTCTGCAGCAGTATGTATAAATCCACTCATCACTTTATAATTTGCCTGTAAAAATAGTCGTAAATTTCACAGGTTTCTGTTTGCTGTGCTGAAGTGAGCTCAGGGGTTTGGGAAGATGGTGCTATTTATAATCCCACATGGGACTACAGGTTAAATCAGGGCAATAACTATAATGACCTGAGTGTAAAATTATAAAATAATGTTTTATTAACTTCCTCCCATAGTCCAAACACAGATTAGAACCACACTATAGTATCAGAGATTTAATTTTTATTATTATTCTCCACGTGACACCGTAATGAACCCATCTGATTGACTACTGCTTTCACCTGACATCAACTGTGATTGGCCCCTTCTCCTGCTTTGACCTCTAACCAACTGGAGTGTTTCAAGAACGAATAAATAAATGAAAGATTCATAAATATTTCTACATGAATTTTCTCTCTACTTTCCCCAGGCTCGAATTTGAACTCGGTTACAGCTTCTCTGGCAACAGTCATTGTTTATTTATAATAATAAATAATAATAATAAAAAAAGAAAAAAAAAAGAATAGTTGTAAATCTGACCTCTGAACCGTGACATTACCATAAAATAAATTCACTTTTTACATTTTCTTACAAATTCCATACTAGCTATATTCTAAAAGCTGGGTCAAAGACAGTCATGTTTTGCTGGGTGCATGGTAATATAATTTTAGACACTAAAAATGTACAATTAATAAAATATGTTTTGGTGACGAGATAAAATGTAAAAGTATATAAAATACTCTCACTTCAGCTCTGACCTGGATGAATTAACCACATCATTTATTCATATGTTTCTACCTGGTTTTTACTGTTTTTTTCCCCTCAAAATATAATTTATTATTTCTGACAAAATTCCTGAATGTTGAAAACATTGGTCATTTATTTCCCGCGTCCCCCGTATTGACTTCATCACATCATGCTGTTACTGCTGATTTGCTACCATAGATGCAAATCAATGTGTTGAATCCTCCACCTGAGCCTCCACCTCTCAGTGGCGTCTCCTGAGAGCAACTGTGTCATCAGAATATACTCATCTCATTAATGTCATGTTGAACGAAGCAGCCTGCGATAACTTTGGCTTCTGGACACGTTGTGTTGTCCTCAACACACAGCAGGCTGTGGTCATGAAGTGATGGAGCCACTTGGTACCAGGGGAAAAAAAACAACTACAATAACTCAAAAATACTCATGTCATTATTTTTACCAGCAGAAATCCAGGTTCACCAGACCGGGAAACCTTTCTCAACATCTGGTTGTGAAATGTAGCCTCAGTTTCCTGTGGGCAGCTGACACAATTTCACCTAGTCGGGTTTGTTTACTGCTGTGGCCAAACTGCTAGAAAACTGGACTTGTTGACCAAGTCTGAAGCAGTGGCAGGAGGAAACACAATTCTCTGAATATTTCTGTTGCTGCATTTTTTATTACTTGGTAACTGCTGTCAGTCAGTCAGTCAGTCAGTCAGTCGCCTCTTACCTAATCCAGGATTAGACATGCCATTCAATGACACTCTGATGACTCTGATACAGTATAACGACTGTATGTGACCCACATGTCTGAGTAATACAATAGTTTGACTAGTTTCTGGCAACGTTTACTTTAGTAAAATATGAACAACTTTTGGATCTTTTTGCAGAAAAGGAATCCAAAAGTACTTGTACTATGTCATATCCTTCAGTGTATTTTTTTTTCCAATAAGCCCACAAGCAATATCAATCCTGAACAATCATTGTGACTGTTGTGTCAGTCAGCCTGTCAGACGTAGACTCACTGACTGTCCTGATTTCAGTCAGGCTGCTCTGACACAAGCCGGGGCCGCTGACCTGAGGTTGAAGTCTCAACAAAACACATGCTGTGGGTTATGATGATATTTTA